CCACACCACACAGACCTCCGATCCTGTGTGTGCGTGTCTCTGTACGGGGCACGAGGAGTTCCGACCCAGTCCCTTGGACTGGCTGATCACCTTGAGCCATTTTTCGGCAGTGACAAGGCGCGAAAACTGCCCCCCAAACTGAAGGGGAACTGGGACACACAAATAAATACACACAAATAAAAAGATTCCCCATATTTTCACATATTTTCTGGGTTTTTGTATTCCCCCCCACTTCCCATATTTTCCCATATTTTCTGGGAAATCGAGGATTAATTGTGTCTGTGTGTTTTTTCCTCTCCTGACAAACGTCTGGCTCGATTTTCGAGTCCTCCCTCCTCCCCTGCGGCTCCCCCCGCTTCTCCTGTCCATCCTCGTCCTCCTCATCCTCCCCCCGTTCTTCCCTCCGCGAGGGGCAACTAAGACAAGGGAGTGGACGACCCGAAGCCTACTTGCATGAAGACCTCCAAAACCCAGAACATGGAATGGTGAAACACCGTGACGTGCGATGAGCTTCGCGGCTGGGTCCTCTCACTGGTCAACACGCCGAACAACGTCCACAATGGGCTGGTGGCCTTGAGGGACACGGTGTGCAAGGAGATCATCGTGGCCCGCGACCTCGACGACGCATGAAAGCCAAAGGCCGCGCGCGCAAGCTTATCGGTTTCATCGACAGACTCATCCTGGCCGCCCCGCGCCGCGCGGCAAAAAAGGAGGTGGGTTGTCCTCGCCCATCGCGGCCAGCCTGCGACTGGCATGGACAAGGGGTTCGGGCGTCTTCCGGCGAGACGCCGCCTCCGAGGGCGGCCACGCTGCACAACCGCTCGGACTCGGACCTGCAACTGTCGCCGGCCAGGGCGTCGCAGGTGGGCGCCGTAGCGCCGGGCACTCGAAACGTGTACGAAGCTGGGAAAATCAGCATACGCATAATGGCGAACAGATACCAACATGAAAACGCACAACTACAAAGCAAGAGAGGAAGCAGACCTGCCTATATATGCGTTGGCTCGACAATCCCCCGCAGGTCAGTATCAGCAGTGGGCATCCAATCTGGTCCAGCATGTTGTCGGAGGTCGTCACACCACCACCGCTTCGGGCGGCCCGGCTTCCAACGCGCACCAATCGTGGGATCGTGCTGCGGGTCCCATTGTATGTCTATTCGTGAGTTCCCGACGCGAACCACAGACTTTCCTGGCCCATCTCCATTTTCTGTCGTTCCACTCTGTACCGTCAACGTCTTGTTCCGCTCAGGCTTGCTCAACAAGGCCCTGTCGTTGGTCTGCAGCACGGGCACCCTTTCCGCGGGCAGCGTGGCTTCATGACACGAAGCTACTGAACCTGGCTTCTCAGAAGGTGCGCTGCCAGCGAAACCGCCTCAAGCAGCGACACGCGCCGACCTGGTGGCCGCGGAGGGCTGGCAGCCCAGTCGCTGCCCAGCGCGGTCAGACCCCCGCCCAGACGGCAGCCGGTTCGAGCACTGGGCAACGACCACGGCGGACAGCTAGGCGGCCGGCCAGACAGCGGAGCTGACAGTCAGGTTGATCTTAAGGGAAGGCCCCTGCGATTCCTGCGGGCGAACGTGGGGGCGCGCCCGAAGACAGGATCCGCCCGGTAACTGCGGTTCTGCCCCGTGAAGGATTGCCGCACGGGACGCCTGCTGCGCGTCGTTTCGGGACGAACAGCGAGACGGCTGCGGGCCTTACCAGTTCGCGGTAGGGCGGAAGGTGGCGCAAGACTATCAATCACGGCTTTCACGGCGGCGGAACAGGTTGTTTGGGCGTTTCTCGCGACGAACGCCTTCAACGCGGTGCCTAAAGAGAGGGTGCGTGAAAGAGTCGCTGCCCGCGCCTGGGTACTGCATGGCCCTGTCGTAAGCTGGCTGTGCCACCTGGGGCGCGGGCACCACTGCCCGGGGGGGGAGAGCTAGCTGCCCGCTCTCCCCGGGCTACTTCGCCTTGGCTCCAGCGGGGCCACTGTGGCCATTTTGACGCCCGGCTGCGCCAGTTGGCCCCGGCAGCCCGTGTCTTCTCGTACCTCGACGGCGTGGTGGGTGTCCTGCCTGCCTCAGTCGCCGACGAGGGGCCAGACGCGGTGGCAGAGGGCCTCAGGGCTGTTGGCCTGGACGGCAAACCCGACGACGCAGCTCCCGCCGCGACGCGCACCCTTCCGGAAGCTCCCTCTGCGCTGCCTGGGCGCCGCTGCCCCCATTGGTGGGCCGCGAGGACCCGCTGTCGCGCCTCGTCGTGCACGGCTGGGCGGACGGCAGCGAGGCGGTGATGGCAACTGGCCGCTTGGTGGCGAGACTCTGCGAGCTTCGTTCGGCCAGACTGGGCGCGCGGCATCGTCCTCCTGTCCCAAGCCGACTGCACCGGGTGCGTCTTCCACCTCTTGCGGGCCGACTACGAGGACGGCGGCTGGAGATCCAAGGATGGCAGCGTCTACGAGGCCATCGTCAGATACGTGGAATTTTTGGTCGGGTGCGCGCTGCGCGCAGACCAGACAGCGCAGTGCTTCCGACTCGCCCCTGGAAGACTGGGGCTGACCTCGGTGGCGGAAACGGCCGCGGCAGCATGCTTGGGAAGCTGGACTCTAATGTTGAATAATGTGATGACGTGCTTGGGTGTGGTCTCGTGGCGGAGCTTCGTGGCCAAGCGCCTCGCGGAGGCCGACACCACTGGGCGCGCAGAGGCGAGCTTACGAGCGAAGAGAAGCGGTGGCCAGCAGCAGCACTGCGGAAGCGGGCGAGCGACGAACTGCTGCGTCGGACACTGGGGGGACGACGACCGCGTTGACCTGCGCTTTGCCGGAGGGCCCAGAGCAGGGAGGTGGCTCGAAATCCCCGCCGTCCCCAACGAAGACTTTCAGACATCCTTGGCGGACCGCCTGCGCTGCGATTTCTGCGATCTGGGACCCCCAGGGCGAAGTGCCGGCTCATCAAGCAGGACGGAGGGGCCGTCGGACAGGCGGGGGGCGGACACGCGCTGAAGTGCCCGTGTGGCCGTTTCCACACGGGTAAGCACGGAACGGTGCGAGACTTCTGCGCTGCGTGTCATGGGCTACGCAGCGACCACGAAATAATTAACAGCAGCCTGGAACCGCACTAACGCGATCACGGGGGAGCTGGATGAGGCCAAGCTGGACGTCGCCACGCGCGAGGCGATCACGAGCAAGTTCTTCTATCTCGGCACGGTCACCACCTGCGTTCCCAGAGGCGACGAGTCGCGCCAACGGGCACGCTCGGGTCGCGACGGCATCCCAGCCGAGAACTGCGAGTGCGACAAGCGCCGGTACTCACGGGGGCAAGCTCGTCCCCGTTGACTCCGAAGCAGGCGGCCGCCCAGGCGACGCGGGGATCGCCCATGCGCGCTCCCTGGCGCACGGCCTGGGGAGGGCGTGATGCGTCGAGGCGTAGAGTCCCCTCCTCCTCCTCCTCCTCCTCCTCCTCCTCCTCCTCCTCCTCCTCCTCCTCCTCCTCCTCCTCCTCCTCCTCCTCCGCTGGCTGCCACTGACACCTACGAGCCTGTTGCAAGCCCCTGCCCGCGGGACGAGCATGGCAGAGCCGAGGCGGAGGCAGCGGCCGCTGCCCAGACTCTGCTTCCCCCCGTCTCGCGTATACTTCCCCAACTGGCCAGTCGCCTCTGCCAGGTGGTGTGCCTTCCCCCACCTCCGCCTCCTCCTGCACGCTGCGCTGCTGCGGGCATCGGCTCTCTCTCTCGCAGCGCTGCCCTCCGACCACAAGCGGCCTTCGCCTCTGAGAGGGGCGGATGAAAAATGGGAGAGAATTAGGCGAAGGAGCGCGCCAATTCCAAGCTGCAAGATGAGGCTCCTCCTCCTCCTCCTCTTCCTCCTTCTCCTCCTCCTCCCCCTCCTCCTCCTCATGTGCTATGGCCTCAATGTGACCCCGCTTTGGGCCGACTGTGTGGCGTCGTTGTGAACCCGCGCTCGCTCGCCCGAACCCGCCAAGACGGTACTGGAGCCAGCACCGCGGATGCCGCAGGAGGAAGACGAGGACAGGGAGGACGAGGAAAAGGAGGAGGGAGCAAAAGGAAAAGGGAGGAAAGGGAGGAGGAGGAGGAGGAGCGAGCAGGGGAATGGCGGAGACGAGGATTCGATCTCTGCCATATCTGCCCCTCGCCCCTGGGACTGCGGTCGGAAACTGTTGCTTAGTGTATCGCGCCGCCGGCGCTGGCCCACCGTACTTCGGCGCCACACGCTCAGGCACGCACCGGTCCCAAAGCATCGACGCTCTGAGCTTTTCCTGGCCCACGTGGGCAGAGCGACACGCTGCTCAGCCCGCAAGGGCATAGCTCGAGGTGCCCAGGGACCCACAAATAAATACACACTAATTGCAGGATTCCCCGTATTTTCCAATATTTTCTGGGTTTTCGTCTTCCCCCCCACTTCTCATATTTTCCCATATTCTCCTGGGAGTCGACGATGAATTGTGTCTGTGTGTCTCTTTCCCTCCTGAATAGCGTGCCGCAGGTGCCGCCGCCGCGGCACGCTGATCAAAAGCTACTCAACGTGACCGCGCCCCCACTCGGAAGAAGACAGAACGGCATACACGCTGGGCCCCCCTGGCACGCAGAGCGAGCGCGAAGGTCCACCGCGGATCCAAGAAATTCACGCGGGCCTTCGAAGGTTCATGTTTATGCCGCCCCGTCCCTCAGGTGGACAACGTCCGCGGCGATACCAACAGCGAGTCCTGCTCATGGGCATGAACTGCTGTCGGTCTTCGATTGCTCTGGAATCTGCGACACGTCGCCGGTAGATCGGCGACAGGCCCCCGATGACGAAACTGCACGCTCATGGGCCGGAAAATGGACCCAGGCCCCGATCGGCGATGAGTGGGCGATTGGGGTTCGATGCTTCCCCCCGTATACCAGTCCCCCCCCCTGCCGTTGCCCCTGACCCTCGGCAGCCCCCCCCGGCGGCGTCCTGGTTGTCGTCGGCCGCCGCGGCGCTGCAGAGCTCGAAGAGGGTCCCCTCGTACTGATCGGCCGTCACCAGCCCGGCGTAGTAGCGCTCCACGCTGGGAGGCGCGGCGGTCCGCTCCCTCGCCCGCCCTCCCCCTTCCCCCTCCTCCTCCCCCTCCTCCTCCCCCTCCTCCTCCCCCTCCTCCTCCTCCTCCTCCTCCTGCTCCTGCTCCTACTCCTACTCCTCCTCCCCATGGAGCAGCATCCGTCGACCTCGCTGGCCGTGGCCGCGGACGACCTCATGATCCACCGCGTTGGCGGGGTCGTGCGAGTGATTTGGGAGGTAGCGGACGCGGCCTTCAAGCTGAGGGCGCTGCTACAGGACGTGGACCTCAACGTGGCGGTCCCAAAGTCGTGGCCGCTGGCAAGCCTCCCGGCGGCTTGGCACGAGCTCGAGAACGGGTGACGTCGGCCGCTCGGGGTCAAGTCGGGTAAGGGTGAGCGCAACCTCGGCGTGGACTTCTCGTGCGGCAAGCGCATCGTGCGCAAGGCCAGACAAGAAAAGCTGGTGCAGGCTGGTCTTCGCCTCCGCCGAGGCGCCCTCCTGAAGTCAGGTGCTGGGCGCAAGAAAGCTGTGCGCAGCATGGCGAGGTCAGGTCTGGAGGCGAGCGTGTGCCACGCTTTTTTGGTCACGGGCTGCGCCACCATGGAACTGGACAAGCTCAGGTCCGTAGTCTTCGCGGCGATGGCGCCAATTGTTGCAGGCAGGTCGCGGACGCTCACTCCCATGCTGACGCCGTTCCTGGACCAGACGTACCGTGCTACGCTGCTGCCGTTCATGGCCTTGCTGCGCGCGGATAGGGAGCAGCGGATTTCACAGAAGATCATCGAGTTCGGGATGCAACAGTGCATTGCCTCGAACTGGTGTCAAGTTCGAGGGCCGTTGGCTATTGATCATAGACGGCAAGACGTGGAGGTTCCAGAAGAGCGCTGACATCAATGTGTCTGAGGCGGCGACGTGCATCCTGCAGCGGCTCCTGTGGCGAGCAGTAGAGGGTGTGCCTGGCAGCGGGGCCAAATTGGTGCGCACCCTGGGCTTCAACATCTTGCCGACGGCGGCGTGCTCGAGCCGCTAGTCAGGATGACGAGACCCTGGGCCGTCAGTCGCAACGCGGTCGTCGGCCCTCATGCTCAGACGAGCGTTGCCGAAAGCCCAGTGCGCCCAATCAAGACCAACGACGACGCCACCGAGAAACCGACCAAGATTGAACTTGAACCGAATGCGCCGACCCTGTCGGCGTGTGGAAGAATATGTTCCGTTTGACTCGCCTTCGTCGACGTCGTCGTCGTCATCGTCGTCGCCGTCGCCGTCGCCGCTCCCTCTCTGTCCCTGGGCCAGTCGCCGCCCTCCCCTTTTCCTGGGACCTCGTCCTCAGGCGCGCCAGCCAAAACAACATTGAGCAACGTCGCAATAAAAGCGGAAGGAAGACTCTTCCCTGTGATCCCTTCCCCAGAGGGGGGGGGGTCCCAGGGGGGTCGCGGGAAGGTCCTGGGTCAGAATACCACCCCCCTAAAAAAGTCCCAAGACGAGCCAAAAGTGGCCCAGGCCCCCAAGACGGTTTAAAAAACACAGAATCGCCGAACGAAAGGTCCAAGAGGTCTTCACGGCCTCCAGACGGCACAAGAGGGCTCGAAGAGCACTCCCAAGAGAGCCCCAAGAGCCGAATTCATTGAATGTCCTAGAAGTTGGTCAACAAAAATGTTGGTGCTCTCGGCTTTTCAGCTTCCCGACGCTCCAAAACAGCAAAAGAGGGTCCAATGATCGCCCCAAGAGGCCTCCAAGAGGGCGCCGAAACTGACCAAAGAGGGCCCGAAGACGGCCCAAGACGCCTGCAAAATGGCCAGAGAAGCCCCCAAGAGGGCTCCAAGAGGGTGCCCAGACAGGGGAACCAAACAGACATTTCGAGCCCTCGGCCCTGAGAGCCCCCCAGGAGGCCCCAAGAGGCCCCCAAGAGGCTCCAAGAAGTCCCTAAGAGGCCCCCAGGGAACCCCACGAGGCTCCCGAGAGGCTCCCAAGAGGCCTCCAAGATGCTCCCAAAGGGCCCCCAAAACTGCCCCCAAAGGCCCCCGAGAGCGATCCGAAGAGACCCCAAACAGAATCCCTGAGGACTCTGACCCCTGTCAACGTCGTCGTCGTCGTCGTTGTCCCCCTTCAGGTTCGGCGGCACCGGCCGTAATTGCCTTCTGGGTCAGGACCCTCTGGCCAGCGGTGGCTGTGGTCACGTGCTGGGCTCTATGGGTCAGGAACTGCTGGCCAGCGGTCATTGTCGCCGAGTGTTGCTGAGCTCGGGATGTCAGACTCCGCTGGGCAACGGTCCCGGGTCGCCGAGCGCTACTGAAGCTGGAACAACCGTGAACTTGCCGAAAGAGCGAGGCTACCTGACGTTGGTCATCGTGGACGGGCAGTGGTCGCAGAGTCGCAGGTGCGAGTGTGGCATGGCGCTCGACGAGAAGTTTCTCCTGCGCGGCAAGCTTAGCGCGCTCATCCACAGGCGCTGCAGCTGCAGAGGCTGGCATGGGAGAGCCCCAGTGGCGCAACAGGGAGGGGGGCTGGGCGAGTCGAAAGTCATAGATTCTTAATCCTGGCCTGCGCCCGTGGAGACCCTAATTGAATTAAGGTGTCGCGTGCAGCATAACACTGACTTAATAAAAGGAACCGATTCCGGGCAGCATTCTGGTTTAAATCCGGACCAGGTCCGAAAATGAGGATTCCTGAGTTCTCGGCCCCGTCCTTCCTGCAAGACAGACCCCTTTTTTTCAATTTCGCACGCAGATGTTTTAAAATTCCTGGCTCGGCGCATGATTCCTCGGAGCCGCTCGCCACTGGGACCCACCCTCCCCCGTGACCTCCGCCTGGAAATGGGGTCTCTTGATTCCTGGGCCCCGCTCGCCACGGGGACCCACCCTCTCCCGCTGTCCCAGCGCGGAGATGGCGACTTGTGTGCCCTGGGTGCCGCTCGCCACAGGGACCCGCCCTCCCCCGTGGCCCCAGCGCGGGGATGGCGGCGACCCTTGATTCCTGGATGCCGCTCGCCACGGGGACCCACCCTCCCCAGTGGCGCCAGTGCCGAAATGGCGACCCTCGATTCCTGGGTGCCGCTCGCCACGGGGAAACGCCCTCCTGCGTGGCCCCAGCCCCGGAATGGCGACCCTTGATTCTTCATTGACTCCTGATTCCTGGGCGGACCCAGCTCCTTGAAATGCCACGCCCATGACAAGGCCGGCGATTCTTAATTCTGTGACCTTAAGACGGCCCACCCCCCTCCTGCACAACAAGATGCGTGGCCAGTCGCCGGGGGCCGACCTGCCTGAGGTGACCTGACTCCTGGAGCGGGCGCTGTGGCCTGCGCCGCGAGGTCCGTCTCGTCCTGCCAGCCCGTGGGCCGGACATCTGCTGGATGGGGCGCACCGACGGGCACTTGCCGTCGGGTGAGCTGTTCCTCGACTGCTCCACTTTCGAAGGCGGCTTCGTCATCGCCGTGACGTCCGCTGCCGAATCCCACCTGCCCTCTGGGCGTCGATGGTTTAGAGCGTTTCCTCTTCCACCCCTCCTTTTTCCCCTTCGGGGAGGGGTTTCCCCCTCCCCCTACCCCCTCACCGCTGACCTGGACAGGAGGTTCCGCGGCGCGCTGGAGCGCCCAAGATCGACCCCTGGGAGGGCTAAAATTCGACACCCCTCACGAGGATCGTGGCTCCTGAGGGGGGGACTGGAATTAGGGAACCCCCTTCGTTGATCGATCTCCTCCAAGACGGCTCCGAGGCCCCCCAAGAGGCCCCCAGGAGGCCCCCAAGAGACCCCCAAGAGGACCCAAGAGACCCCCCAGAGGCACCCAAGAAGCGCCCAGGAGGCCCCAAGAAGCGCCCAGGAGGCCCCCAAAGGCCCCAAGATGGCCCCAAGAGGCCCCAAGAGGCCCCCAGGAGGCCCCAAAGAGGATCCCGAACGGCCCACAGAGGCCCTCCCGAGGCACCCAAGACGCCGAAAAGCCCCTCAGGACGACCCTCTACTCGCCTGGGCGTCGTTTCTGGACGGGCTGGTGGGGATTATATATATATATATATATATATATATATATATATATGCAGCCCCAGGCGAAAGCGCCGACGGCGGGCGGTCACGGTCGGGCTGCGGCCGCGACTGAATTCCCGGGCGCGCGCGGGGGCCGCGGATCAGGCGGCGGCGGGGGGCAGCGACCCAGGGCGTCTGAGAAGCCAGGCGAGCGTGCAATCCAGGGAGTCTGCAAGGAACGCCCAGGAAACGTGCAAGTGGCAAGCCCAGGGAGACTGTCTACCACCGAGAATTAAAACGCCGCCAAAATGGCGCGTGGACGCTCCCGTCGTGATCGTAGCAAAACGACAGTTGGTAGGGAACGAAATCCAAGCAGGAAAGTCAATCCAGGGAGTCTGACGGGTATGAGCAGACAAAGCTGGAGACGCGGTCCTCCAGGAAGGTACTCTGACAGCGCCAGCGAACCGTCGCAGCATCAGAGGCACATGGCTGGTGGGGATACGCGAAGCGTCTAGAATTCCTTCGTGACGGGTATCTCCGGCACGCTGTGCGAGCCGCTCGCGGTCGTCAACGGCGGTGAACTCTCGGCTCTCCTGGGCGCGCTGCGCCTCGCAGTGCCGCGCGTCGCAGCGGTGGTCGACGACAACCTCGTGCTCCTCGGCCTCGCAGAGTACGGACTGGTCGCGACCACGGCCCACTTCTACGCGTGGTCGCACCTGTGGAGCGAGGTGCGAAGGCTCCTCGACGAGTGCGGCGGCTTGTGCGGGGCGGGCCTGACGGTGCGAAAGGTTCCAAACCATCAGTCGCGCAGGTCTGTGGTCGATGGCTGCCGCATCATTCACGCACAGGGACTGGCACGCCAACAGGCTGGCAGGCAAGGCGGCGAAGGGTGTGGCTGCTCGCGGCCGCCTGCCGCCCGAGTCGAGGCGCAAACTGGAGGTGACCAAAAAGACCGTGGCGACGCGGATCTCGGCGCGGAGCGGCAGCGACGCCACGCACCGCGTGGCCAAGCACAGCAAGCCCGCGCCCAAGGCTGCCGATGCCGCCGCCGCCTCGGAGGCCCTGCCTGGAGTGCGACCTCCGAGGCCCCCGAAGGGAGGAGAGGCGGTGCGCTCGCTGCCGCCTGGGCGCAGCGCGCGGGCAGGTGCCCAGGGCTTTTGTGCAGTCCCTCCTCGAGTGCAATCGCAAGCTGGCGAATCGCTCCATTCGGACCCAACGGTTTAATCACCCCAGTGTGATCCTTGGGTGGGAACACCAAAAAGACGTTCAAAAAAGTACGCTGTGTCGGGTGCGGATACTGGCGAGACGTGCTATCGGACTGTTGAGCTCAAGCCCTCGGTCGACGGCGCCCTGGTCCGCGAACAGCCCATGATCGCGTGCCTTGCCTGCGGTGCGACGGGGGCTGCTAGGAGCTGCCGTTCCGGGAACGCATGCGACACGCCGTCGGAAAAGGGCAAGTGTGTGCCGTCGGGGCTCGACAAGCACCGCGGCCACTCGGGAGGCCAGAAGATAAGTGCCGAGCTGCGGGCGCTGGACAGCGGTTAGCTGCCGCGGCGGGCCAAGCGCTCGGCCGCGGCCAAGCGGGAGGAGTGCGGCTGCACCGCTCCCCCTCGACGCTCGCAGATCCCCCGCCTCCCTTTTTGACGCTGGCCAGACTTTAAGCATCGAGGTCCTCCTCCTCCCTTCCCCTTCTCTTCATCCTCCTCTTCCCACCTCCTGCCCCTCCCTCTCCCTTCCTCCCCCTCCCTCCCTCCGATGTTCTTCTCTTCCTCCTTTCGTTGCCCCTCATTTCCCCCTCTGTCCTTCCCCTCCTTCCCCCTCCTTCGTCCTCCTCCTCTTCGGGTTCACTGGGCGGACCGTCGACCCGACCCCAAGAGGGACGGACAGGGGACCGACCACGACGACGACGACGTCGACGACGACGGCGACGGCGACGACGACGGCGACGGCGACGACGACGACGACGAGCGAAAGCGAGAGCGAGAGAGAACGACAGCAGGGCCACGAGGACAGAAAGTAGGCCACGAAGGGCGACAGCGGGGACACGAAGGGAATGCGTATGGGGCCACTAAGAGCGCGAACGAGCGGGGGCCACGAAGGGCATACGTATACTGGGCCGCGGAGGGCAAGGACGGGGCCACTGAAGGCAGCAACGGGGCAATGAAGGGCAGCGAGGGGGCCACGAAGGGCATGCATATGGTGCCACCACGGGCGCGAACGAGCGGGGGCCACGAAGGGCATACATATATGGGGCCACGAAGGGCAGCGAGAGCGAGGGGGCGGCGAAGGGCTGCGACGGGGCCACGAAGGGCTGCGACGGGGCCACGCCCTTTCAAACACTTACACCTGAGAGAACCCCAATCAGTGGATGATTCGAGAATTAGTCATATGGATCTTGAGATCGCTTGTGAGATCGATAATGAGATCGATAGTGGAATCGATGAAGGACGATTGTAAGGTCGATCGTGAGACCGGATGTGGAATCGACTCAATGAGATCGATAGAGAGATCGACCGCAGGATCGCTCGTACGATCTCTAGTGAGATCGCTTGCGAGATCGATTGTGAGATCGATTGTGAGATCGATGGTGAGATCGATGGTGAGATCGATAGAGAAGTGGGAAATGAGATCGATGCTGAGACCGATCGATAAGAAAATCGACCAGGAACCCTGGAACCTCGCCGCCCACCGAAATCGGCCACGAAACCAGGAACCCGGGAACCCAGGAACCCGGGAACCCAGGAAACCCACCGTGCGACCAAGATCGGCGGGACACTTCCGCCAGATCCTTCAACCTCCGCTGGGACCCCTTCGGTGCACGCGCGGATTGGGGAACAGTGCCAAACGCACTCTGCCTGCACATTTGGAGCACGCGCGGCCGCCCCGCGACCATCTAGGGCTCCCAACTTCGCGCTTCGCGCTACGCGAAGCGCGAAGCGCGAATAACTTCGCGCTCTCGCGCCGCCCCCCCAAAGGCAGAAAAGAAGGATGAAAGAGGAGGGGGAGAAGGAACGAGGACCGCGAAGCGCGAATAACTTCGCGCCCTCGTGGGAGTCCTTGACCATTGTGGATGGGCATCTGACAGTGACGGCTGGGATGCACGTGGGACGCTGGGCGCACGTGGGGCACGTGCCGCGCCTGGCGCGTCTGGCACGCTTGGGCCTTCCAGGGCGTGGTGCATTTGGAACCCGTGGCGTCTGCGGCGTTGTTACGCGATATGTTACGCGATATGTTACGCGATCTGCGGGTTGGACCTCGCAGGCGGGCGGCGTCTCGACGGCACGCCGCCCACGGCCCGCGTGCTATTAGCGGCTGTTGCAGGCGGCGCCCGTGCCGCGGGCCTTGCGGCTCATGGGCAGGCCGTCGCGGGAGGCTGGCAACGTCCAGGAAGGAAAGAACACACAGACACAATTCATCGTCGATTCCCAGAAAATATGGGAAGATGTGGGTGTTACGTATGTGCTGGGAGGGCGGGTGGGAGTGAGCAAGACGGCTTGCGGGCGGGTGGGAAGCTTGACCCCCCACCCCTCACCCCCTCCCCTGGGCCTGGAGGGGTGGGGTCGTGGGTCACGGCGCCTCCCCTGAAGGCCGCCAAGAGGCTAGAATCCTTCAAAAAGCTTTGGTAAACAATGAATGTTGACTTCTCGCCTTTTCGCTTCCGATGGCCATCCGAGGCCTCAAAGCAGCTCCTAGGAGGCCCAGGAGGGCCCCAAGAGAAACCCAAGAGAAACCCAAGAGAGCCCGAAGACGGCCCCAAGAGCGCCCAAGATCGCTCCAAGAACGCCCCAAGAGGGGTCAAAGAAACGATGGTTGGGGCTCCCGAGGGGAAGAACGTGATTAGAGCTAGCGTTTTTTTATCGATCTCCTCTAAGATGGCCCCAAGAGCTCCCAAGGCTCCCAAGAGTGCCTCAAGAGGGCCCCAAGAGGCGCCCAAGATGCCTCCAAGAGGCCCCCAAGAGACCACCAAGAGGCTCCAAGAGGCTCCCCGAGGGACCCTTCCTCTGTGTGCTGCCCACTTCCCTGATCGAGGCAACTCCTCTGGGCATCGTCTCGGGTTGGGCTGGTGGGGTTACTTTGGGTACGCGGGCGCGCGAAACGAGTTGAACGCCGGGCGTGCTGGGCCAGGCTGCGCCACCGGCAAAGGGAAAAACAGAGGGGCTGGTGGGGTTACTTTTTTGGTCGCGGCCGCAAGCGAAGGCGCAGGCGGCGGGTCGGTAAGTCCGGGGCGCGGCCCTTACCAATTTACAACAGGAGCAACTAAGCCGCACACCCAAACTGCCAAAGCTGCAGCTGGTGGGGTTATGCGAAGCGTCAAGAATATTCACTTGGAATTGGCGATGCGTCGCCGATAGATCGGCGGTTGGCTCTGGACAACGAAACGGCAAGCTCCTGGGCAGGTTCGCGCATCGAGGCCCGGATGGGCGAATGCGTGGGCGATTGGGGGCCCCGGGCTTCCCCGCCCCCTGGGCCAGCCGCCCCCTTGTCATTGACCCCTAGTGCTCAGGTGATAACTCGGCTCTCCGGCACGAGTCTGGCAACCACAGAACGCTCTCGGCCAGGCGCAGCTGCTGGTGAGCATCCCGACGCCGGAACACCGCCGAGATTCGACGAGAATGCCCGAAAGTCTGAACCTCGAACCGAAAACATCTCCCCGCGTTGCTGCCCCGATGGGGTCCCCCTCCTCCCATGTGGCCCCCCCGCCCCAGAGGCGGGGCTCCTGCGCGCGCGCTCCTTCTGGGCGCTGGCGCCGCCGCCTCGCGCGCCCGGGCTCGGCGTCTGCAGGGGCGGCCGCCTCCCGGTAAGGGCCGCCCGCCCCCCCACCCCGGTTCTCCGGGTCCTGGTCACCCGCGGGAGGGGCGAGGAGCAAGGAGGCGGAGAAGGGGAGGAGGAGACGGGAGGATGAGGAAGCGGAAGGCCGCCGTTGTATCGACTTGCCCTCCTCCCCAGACCACCGAAGGCTCGATTGGTTCGAGTCGCTCGCTGGCCCCTGGAACTCCCGATCCCTTCCATGGGACACGGGACAAGCGCTTCATCCTGAAAGATTCTTTGATGGCACCCCTGGGGCTCCAGAAACGGCCCCGCTCTCCGCCGCGATTTATCCAAGTCGACAGGTGTCGTGGTCCCTGGAGGTCTCTGGAGATATCCAGGTCCTCAGAGATCCCTGGAGGCCTCAGAAAGAGGCCAAGATCAGCGCAAAGAGAAAGAGAAGGAGGAGCGGCCGCGGCTGTGGGGCTTGTCGGGACGAGCACAACTGCATCGCATCTGGCAAAGTGTGCGCGAGGGCACTCGCAAGCTGAAAGTGGTGAAAGCTGGACAGCATCCCAAGAAGGGAACGGCGTGGGTGGGGGGGGGGCGGCAGCGCTGCGCCCAGGCTCACGATACGAATGGCTCAGGATATCTTCCAGAACATCAGGGATATATATATATATATATATATATATATATAGCGGTCCTCGTTCCTGGAGCCCGTGCGAAGCGATCGGAAATCTGGCAAATCATGGGCACCTGAGAAATCTTGGACAGTATCATTCTCATGACAGCTTGCTCCTGCGATGTGCGGGTACGGTCGGGAATTGTTGGAAAGCGTGTCGCGGCCGCGGCCCTGGCGACGAACCCCCGCGAGCGGATAACGTGTCCCTCCGCTCCGCGTGGCGGGAGACGGGGAAAGGATCTGGACGTTGACGCTGGGTGACCAGGAACTGGGTAGCGTATCGAGCCGGAGCGTGGTGGGCCACAGCCGGCGGAGCGGCACGCGATCCAAAAGGTACAGACCGTATTGCTCGCCATCTCACTGATGGAGGAAGGCAGACCAGGGGCGAGGAAGGAGGGGCGAGGAGGAGGAGGACGATAGCGAAGGCCTGGTTGGTTGACGCAAACTTCCTCGCTGCGCGAAGAAATCCAAGGATCTTCGAGGAAAGCCTGGGGAAGATCTCTCAACTCTGGGGAAATCCACGGGAAGTCCACGGAAGCTGAGGGAGAGTCTGGGGAGAACACACTGACGGGCCGCCAATGTCTCGTTACCATGATGACTGGCCAGGGCTTAAGCTGACTGAGTTGACTGGTCGATTGGCCTCCACATGCGTCGTATGCTGGTTTCGTTCTCTGTTCGCTAGACCGTTTATCATTCACACACGCGCACACACGCTGGTGTTCGCATTTACGCTTGTATGATAGTATGTATGCCGCTGAACAATGGCATTGGGAAGTATCGGAATGTGTATAATATGATATGCATGCACCAGTACATATACATACATTAAGACACACATGAACGCCCACGTATATACACATTCGTACCCAAACATACATGTCATGGAACCGCTTGTGTTCGTATATGCATGTATGATTGTATATGTATGTGTGCACGCATGTAGGCGCGTATGTTTTTGTTTGCGCGTATGCACGCATATATGTATACATTATACAAACATGTAGACAAACACCTGCAACTGAAACTACACACACGTGCCCATCAATATCAACACCACCTGTCCAACGCGTATAATAATGAAAGGAAGCTTGCAGCACATACAAGCATCATTGTGCGTGCGCGTGTGAACCTTGAACGCAAAGAGGACGAAATCAATACACGACAGATGTGAGGGCCAATCGACCACTCAACTCAGTCACTATCAGCCTAAGCTCTGGCCAGTTGAGGTGGGTCCCGAGTGAAACGGATCCTGGACCCCAGGGCATTCACCCAAGACCAGCTTTTCATCCTGAGCCGCTCGTTGACCGCCCAAGGGCATGGGGAAAGATGTGCACGCAGAGCTTCAATGCCCGCTTCCCTGGGACCCCTCCTTTCCTGGCGACCCTTCTGTGGAGCTCTTCGCCGGCCGAAGGGACCGACGCGGCCTCCTAGGGCTGGGGCTGCTGAACAGGCGCTTCACATGCCCGTCGCGCACACCCGCGCCGCCGCGCCGCGCTGCGGCAGGGCTGGCCTCCGTGGTGGGGGAGATGTTGCCTGCTTCGCACATCATCATCATCATCATCATCATCATCATCATCATCATCATCATCATCATCATCATCATCATCATCATCATCATCACCACCAGCATCATCATCAGCAGCAGCAGCAGCAGCACCAGCAACACCATGGGCATCTTCAGCATCACCATAATCACCATCAACAGCATCATTATCATTATCATCATCATTTTCATCATCATCTTCATCACCATCAGCAGCAGCAACAGCATCGTCATCGTCATCGCCATCGCCATCGTCATCAGCAATCATTAGCAGCATCACGGTCATCATCATCAGCAGCATCATCATGATCATGATCAACTACAGCATCATCGTCATCGCAATCAGCATCGTCGCCGTCATCATCATCACCATCACCATCACCATCACCACCACCACCATCATCATCATCATCATCATCAGCATCATCATCATCGGCATCATCCTCGTCGTCAACATCGTCACCATCATCATCACCATCACCATCGTCCTCGTCCTCGTCCTCGTCATCGTCGTCGTCATCATCAGCATCATCGTCATCGTCATCAGCAGCAACATCATCCTCATCACAAAGCAGCACTATGGTCACCGCAATCATCATCATTACCATCACCAACATCATCAACATCGTCAGCATCATCATCAGCATCAGCATCAGCAACATCATGGTCAGCATGAGCATCATCAGTATCATCAGTATCATCATCATCATCATTATCATCATCATCATCAGCAGCATCATCATCATCATTATCATCATCATCAGCATGATCCTCATCATCAGGATCACCACCATCATTAGCAGCACCATTGTCATCAGCATCACCGTCCTCAGCATCATCATGTTCATTATCATCATCATCATCATCATCATCATCATCAGCAGCAGCAGCAGCAGCAGCAGCACCACCACCATCCTAAGCATCACCATCAACGTCGTCGTCATCGTCATCGTTATCTTCGTCCATCCGATTTATCCCGACTGGGCTGCCGATTTCATCCGATCCGATGTCGATGTCGATCGCCGATCTGGCTTGTCGATCCGATTCTAGGTCCTCCTGCTGAGGAAAGACGTGCCTTTCGGATTGGATCTGTCCCCTGCTCCCGGTTGTAAGCCCATTGTATACTCTTTTTCCCCGTTCTCTCTCCCTCTTCTCTCTCTCTCTCATTGCTGCTGGCTCGGTTCGAGCCGGCTTGAGGCGATTTGGTTCCTGGTAGCAGGACTGGAAAAGGGGCCGCATCCTCTCCTCGAGCCCTGCGGGCTCCGCCGCCGACCCCCGCTGCGGGATCGGGAGGTCAGAGGAGGCCCAACCCGGTTCCGCAGTGGTAGCGGAGCCCGCCGCTGCGCGGGCGCCATCGGCCGAGGGGCGAGATCTACGACGATTCTCAGTGCAGAGCGAGTGCTGAAGGACGGGTACTACCTGGACGTGTACACGGAGTGCGACGAGGAGGGTGATGCGACCAGCATCAGCCCCAGAGCGCTATCCGGCGATGGGCGGCGGCACGCTCTCGCCAGATGCGCTCCCTCCGCGGCCGAGCGGCGGCAGAGGAGCAGCGTGGACTCAGCGCTCCTCGACGAGCTGGATCGCAGCGCCAGCATGGACCAGCCGCCACCTGGAGGGCATCCCCAGCTGGGACGGCAGCCCGTCGCGCTGGAGAAGATACAAAAAGGACGTGGCGCTGTGGATCGAGGGCATCAATCTAGACGTGAGCTGGAACTGGGCGGCACGGATGGTTCGGTGCCTGACGGGCCCGGCGAAAACGCTCGGCGAGTCCATCCCGATGGTGGAGCTTCGGCCCAAGCAGTGGATGTGGATCCCCGAGGAAGTAAGTGAAGAGGCGGCTGCTGAAGCAGCCGAGAGCGGGGATCACGATGAAGAAGATCGTGGCCACGGGGAGGAGCCCGACCTGATGGCAGGCATCAACCGCTTGATGGAGGTGCTAGCGACGATGGGGGTGGACGAGCCGACTCGCAGGGGCCAGGTGATGAACTACTTTTACAAGCAGCTGCATCGCAGGTCCGGTGCGGACCTGAACTCGTGGATGATCAGGTCCGGCGAGGCTCGCAGCCAGTTGGACGAAGAAGACGTGGCCCTGCCGGCGAGAACGGCGGGCTGGTGGCTGATCGAGAAGACTGGCCTAAATGAGACGCAGAAGAGTATGCTGATGACCTCCACCGGCGGAAGCATGGAGATTCGCGAGGTTGTCCCAGCCATGATGCGGGTGTTCCCCAACCTGCACGTGACGGAGCGGCGGCCTATCGCGTTCGACCGCAGCAGGAGGCCGATCACCTTCAATCGCCCGGGGACGCAGCTCTTGAAGAAAAAGGTGATGCGGCCGGCACACGTGACGGAGGACCTCGATGGGATCAGCCAGCTAGACGAGGGTGAGCTCGAGGCGCCGAATGCAGAGCTCGGGAGCTTCGATGGAGACGCCGACGACGAGACGGTCGACGAGGTCCTGGCGACGGAGCAGGACCATGACATCGAGGGCATCCTCGCCGCGGAGCTGGAGGCGCTCACTACGGTGCTCGAGGAGGCCGAGAACGACCCAGAGTTGGCCCAGGAGCTCGGGAACTTAGAGAGCGGTATGGAATCGATGATGGAGGGCCTCATCACGGTGCGTGAGAGCAAGAAGCGAGTGAAGGAGCTTCGGAAGGACCGCAAGTTTGGCGGCAAGGGCGGCGGCAGAGGCTCAGGCTCGAGCTCGAGCAGCGGCAAGAAGTTCATGACGGGCTTCGGCAAGAGCAGTCCTGACAAGAAAAACTCGGACTGCCACGCCTGCGGTCAGAAGGGTCACTGGGCCGGCGATGCGTGCTGCCCGAAGCTCAAGGAGTGGATGGCTGAGCAGGCCAAGAGGAAGCTGCAGCAGCGGTTCAAGCCGAAGGACGCGACGGTGGTGGACCTGCTGCAGACGCCAGAGGTTCTGGACGCACAGACGATAGAGATTCAGAAGGACGTGTTCGAGGTGCTGACGACCAGCAATTGCGAGCACGAGCAGGGTGAGACGCCTGCGTTCGGGGCGACGGCGATGGAGAAGACGGACGACAAGCGCAGCCACCTGGACTACCCGCCCTTCTGCCCGGACTGCGTCTACGAAGGAGACGATCGCGATGTCCGGTGCTCGATGCGCGGGCGGGACTACACGGAGATTTACGAGGGCGCCGGCCAGCAGGCAGCAGAGGATGACGTCTTGGCGAGCACGACTCGTTCGTGCGAAGTCCCGATGGCGACGCAAGTCCTTGGCATGGGGAGTGGTGCCCCCTCTTCTTCCGTTGGCGGAGGGCCGGCAAATGGGCCAGTTCTTGGGATGGGGAGTGGTGCCCCCTCTTCTTCCGTCGACCATAGCGCAGGGTCGGCGGATGGCTCAGGTCTTGGTGCTGGGCTGCGACCCCCTTCTTCTGCTGGCCCGATGCCCTCGGATGGGTCAAGGGACGAGCGAGCCATTCAGGAGGTGTTGCTCTCGTCAGCGTCCATCGGGGGCCAAGGAGACGACGGCGCGCTCGACTCAGCCTGCAACAGCACGGTGTCGGGCGACACGTACGCCAATAGACTCGAGGATCGGCGCAAGGAGCTGGGCATCGAGAACTACATCAAGAAGGGGCCGCAGCTCGCGATCTTCCGCTTCGGGAACGGCCAGAAGCAGATCTCCAAGGAGCGCTGGGCGGTGCCGGTGTCGGTCTTCGGCGTGGACGCCTACCTGACCTTCTCGGTCATCGAGGACCCGGTGCTGCAGTTGCTCATCGGGAAGGACGCTCTGCGCGGCATGGGCGCAGACATCAACTTCGCGGAGGATTCGTTCAAATCGGACCGGCTCGGCATCACACCGAAGCGGCTGAACGAGACCGACGGCGGGCACTACTCGATGCCGATCTTCCCGCGTGGGAGCTGGAACCCCCCGTCGGGGACTCCGACGGCGGAGGCGGTCTTCCGCGTCAAGTCCAAGGTGCGAGGAGCGCTGATGACGGTGAAATCTGAGTTGGCTGCCCGTGCGGCAGACCGGCGGGCCACGGAAGTCGAGGACGTGGTACCTGTGCCCGAGGATGAGGACGACTGGAACATGCCCGACGGCGAGGTCGACGTCTCTGGCCTCGAAATGTGGGAGCGTCAGGACTACAACGCGAGGGCGCTCAAGCCCTCGAACCGCGACGGGCCGAACTGGAAGCTGGTGCGGGCCCGAGAGACGTTCTGCATGGATACGGGCGACATCATCGAGGACCTGCGGTGGATCGAGGGGCTATCTAACGAAAAGATGTTCGAGCAGCTCGACCCGCCGAGGAACACGGTCACCCGGCTCTACTGGGAGCCGGAACCAGAGAGGCCAAGGCCGACCGCATCCGAAGGCCGGCCGCTGCTCTGCGATCGAGATCAGCTCCTACGTGTCCCCCGGGATGTGCTGGAGGACACGGCGACAGTGCTGGAGATTCCGCGGGCGGAGCATTTGAGCGTCAAGGTGCTGATTGACCGACTGATGGAGCATGGCGCGAAGCAGAGGAGGAGGACCCCTCAGGAGGAAGGCGAGGCGCTCGGCGCTGGCCCTCAGGCTCCGCCGGGCCAGCTGGCAGCCCGGCCCCTGGGACCCCGAGCTCAGCACTATCCAATGAGACCAGGAGGCGCATGCGGGTGCTTCCTGCTCTGGGACTCAAGAACAAGGCCGAGCTGGTGGACTACGCGCGCCATCACGAGGTGCCGACGGACGGCAACCCGGAGCTGATGACGATGCCTGCGCTGAAGGACGCGGCCTATGCGTACGACGAGGTGCTGTTCGTGCGGGCTCGCATGGGTCCGAGAGGCCCAGCGGTCGGCAGCGCGGGGGTTCGCCCGCCGCCTGTCGACCCTCGAGCTCGACCCGCTGCTCGGGGACCTTCGGCACTATCGAGGTGGCTGTTCGGCGCGGCGATGCTGGGAATGTGTATGCCGGTAAAGGTTACGAAGGAGGTGAACTTCACGGACCGGGTCGACCTGAACCC